CACACGAAAGCCTGACTTGGTCTAATTCTAGACCTTATTACTCTGAATCTAGCGTGAACAGAAGATCTGCTAAAATACGCAACAGCCATGTGAAGTTTTGCAGCAGCGCGGATGGGGAGCAGTGGTTTCGGATTGGATGATGCGAGCTTGTGTGGGGCCAAAGCACAGAGCTAACTGAACGAGAATGACTCGGCCATGTTGCCGCCGTGACAAAGATAAATTACAGCTACTGGAAAACATTTCTTCATATTTCTCTCCCTCGCTCACGTTCTCCATACCTTCTTCGTTTCTTTTTTTTTTGGGGGGGGGCATTGGGTGTAGTCCAAATGTGTGTCACGGTGAGATTGTGAAAGAGGTGGAGGGGCTCTCTGAAATGATATTAGAGGGTATGAAGTTGCCCCATAACGTCCACAGGTCAGGCACTGTGTTTTATGATGGAACAGGCCTTCTGTCGCCACATTTATGCACATAGACGGTAAATACTTTGCCCTCAGACTGACCCCTAAAACTTACTAAAAATGATTCCCAGTTCAATCTGGACATGTTTAAAGCAGCTATTACAGATGTGCACTGTATGCATGTGGTATCAAAGCCAAGGCGGCCTGGATTCTTTCTGTTAAACTACTACTAAAGATTCCAAATCTCACAGAAAGCCAAGTAAAGTAGGTGTCTGTTGGGGACGTCAATGACCAATTTATAAAAACATGTTCATTTACCACTCGATTTCCAATTTAAGTCTTGATGAGGAACATTTAGCCTGATCTGACCCATCAAATGTTTCGACTATGAAATCCAACCTCTGTTGTAAATGTTTCTCTTTGTCTTATCGAGTCCTCTGTTCACTGTACTCTCCCTGCCTTCTCGTCTCTCAGGACCCGTTCCCTGTCCAAATATTCCAGTGAGCAGCCCTCAAGTACGGTGAGGTGTTTTCGGGTGTCTCTTTAGGTGGGCTGCAGCTGACTATATGATTGTGTGGTCAGCACTGCCGAGCAAAGACCACCCAGCAGGCAGCTGCAGCCATAGAGCCCAACAGGCCAGGCAGGAAACAGGAAACAGGAAGAAGAAGGCAGGACATCCTGTTCATCAGTGTTGAGCATGACATCACGATAGCATCACGCCTTAATGAAGAAAACCTGACCAGAGGCCAAATATTGTGTCGCTCCACTCTTGAGTCACCTAAACTCAAATATATTTCCATCTATGTTTTATCTCTGAATGTTTGGGTTCCTCAGTCATCTGTCTCCTCAGTTTGCCTTTTCAGCCCTCACACTGACACTGTTTTCAGAGTGCTTCATCACCCAGACATCAGTCCTACCCTCTTCAGAGTGAGATAAAGGAAAAGAATACACGCTTTTTCATTTGGATATACACCAAGCGCAACCTTCACAAACTTCAAGCAAAAAAAAACAAACACAAAAGCACAAACATCCCGACACGCAAACAAGACAGAGACGAGACACACACATGAACGCACACACGCACACCTCCCAGACACACAGCATACACTGTCAGACAAACACACAAAGAAACAGCAAACATACCGCACAGCACAGCCAGAAGAGTACTTTATGCAGAAATATTCTAAAGTGTGTTTTACAATACAATTAAACATCAAAGGCTGATATATTCCTCTGTGATCTTTAACACCCCAGTGAACAAACCCAATACACCCCCATCCACTTACAGTGTACACAGAAACTTGCTGAACGTCACCGTTAATTACTAGATAGAGACAGAAGAAGACTTGCATCATTATGCAAAAAAAACAGGACATATTCAAATAAATGCATCCAATCCACCGTGAACCATTCAAGGACCGTGTTATTTACTTTAGATTATTACTTTTTGAGTTTCACGAGTAATTGCCGCCCTCATGAAGGTATACAGGCCGGGCTCCAAAAGGGACAGAAAACATTTGGGTAAACATTTCTAACGTGCACAACAGTTAGGACAAAAAGGCAGGTCGGAAACGGAAACGAATAAATAAACACATACACACGTTTCATTCGTACTATTAAAATACATAAAAATACTTTTCCTTCCATGTGGCAAAAGAGGGAACACCTGCCGTTCGCAATAAACAATAATACAGCAAGCCTTTGAGTTGTTATAAAACTGAGGTATTTTCATCTGCTTATACAGGCAAGACAATATGTTATTTTATCCAAATGGCTGATAATTTCTACAGCATTTATGTCAAATAAATTCACTCTAAGGGGAGGTTAACCTTATTCTGCGATTGTTGGTGTTCTCTGGTACATTTATTTGAAAGAACGTATGAATGTTAAATTATTTACGGGGTATACAGGGATGTCTCCTGACAGTTTAGGATATTATTTGCTCCTTATATATGAGGTAAATAATGATTCTTCACAATTGACTGTTATATTACCTTCTTATTTGAGCCAAAGGGCATGAAGTCCAATTACAGTACTTCAATATCTACCTGCAAATCTTGCCAACCTGTAATCTGCAAATGAGAGTTTTATTGATGTTTATCTGAGCAAATTCTGCAAACCCTTTCCAAAATATTTGAAACTATTAGTGAAAAGAAAACTTTAAAGCGTAGCAAAAGGGTGCATTAAATTATTTGCTTAAACAGAAATCCTTCTGATGTTTCCGTAAAGGAAAATGTTTTCATAGAAGGAGGGGATCTTGAAATGTGCCTGCTGAACAGTATTACATGTCCTCTGAGGCAGCACAGTGGCTCACATTAGTCATATTCCCTTAGTCTTAGTCTTAGGAATCATATTAGACATTTATGATTAAATATATAAGCGGCAGTCCATTCTATCCGGATTTGGTCCGAACACTTTCAAGACACATGAAAAAAAAAGCTCTGAGCATGGCACACAGTGTGTCCGTTCCATTCACTTAACTAAAGCTTCACTGAGCCCCTGGTGTACAGCAAAGTGCCCTTACAATCGGCTCAATGCCCCGGCCAATCACAGAGACACGTGACCTTCTAATCCCCCTCCGTGTGCAGGGGTAAGAGTTTGTCGTCGATGTTGGTTTTGTCAAATCAGCGGCCAAAATCCCAAATGATTTGTCATGAAGGAGAGGCGTTAAAGAGAATAAGGGAGAGAAACGCAGCACGGGCCAGTTAGTGTGGGTGTCGGTGTGCGTGTGTGTGTGTGCGTGTGTGATGGTGTGTGTCTGCGTGACAGAAAGACAGAGAGGGAGAAGGGGGCAGACCATGCCTTTGCCTGAGCATTTGTGTGAATTTGCGTGCGACTGCGTGTGCGTGTGTGTGTGTGTGTTTGCATTGGGTCTCTGAGATTACAGAGCCTGGTTGACAGAGTCCTCTGTGTGTAATCGTGGGGTCCACATGCGAGCGCTCACCTTTCTGTGAGCGGATTAACCTAACGCTAAATCCCAAGAGAGCAACAGGCCAGACAGGCCACACAGAACTATTTCATTGACGATTTGCACGAGGGAAGGCCATGCGTAAAATCTTTATATAGACTAATTTACTTTTGATATATTTTTTCATGAGTAAACAATTCATATACAACAGCATAAATGGTTGTAAAAAGTAATGGGGAAATTTCTTAAAATGTTCCTTGCACATACTTTATATAAACTGTGCCATTTTCTAATTAGGTCCATACGCTGTCGTAGGCAGAAACAAATTGTCACTTTAAAAATATACTTTGCCCTCAAAATATCACACTTTTCAACTTTAATGTGTACCTCAAAATGTGTTTAGGTTTATTCATTTTGATATTTAATATTTCTCTACATAAATACATCACGTTTATTTAAAAAAAAGCGACACTAGGTCAGTACTGTAATTGTCAAATTACTTTTTAACAGATTGACAACTGTTACTAACGTACATGCTTATATTAATGAATTATTAATGTGTCGAATTCATCCCAGTCAGTTTCAAAATCTGTTAAAAAAAATTTAAAAGTGTCATTTCATAACCATCATTAGGTAATCTGCACATTTCATAACCGTACTGTAAGTACACCACAAATACAGCCAGTTGGTTTTCTAAAGCTGCGACATTTAAAAGCTGCCACAGGTTAATTATGGTGTCAATATTAATCCGCTCTCTGCAACAGGTTCAATTAAGCCACTGGTGTGAACTAAACCCACTTACTAATAGTAACGTTCTCAGTGTAGTGAAACATATCTAACCAATCAGTCATTGAATAAATTAGAATTCAGTCTAAAAACACCAAAACTTCTCTACAACCTGATTCACGCTTCATGTCTGCATGAATTCAGGCTCAAAGTAAACTGTGTCTCTTGTATTTTAGTTTGGAAAAGTTCAATGTTTACCCCATGCACTCTTTTCTAATATATTTATGCAAGTTATGAGGATTATGTTTATTTTATGTGATTATTGTCATCATTAATGCACATCAGCTTAGTCCATTTAAACCACTGCTTAATGCATACATATTCACTAAGTAGGCAAGGCCATCTCACGTGTTTCCCATACAGTAAATTGCATTAAGCTAATTACCTGCAGTAAAACAAGTATTTTTCAAAAAATTTCCATCGTCTTTGAAAGAAAGTTTTAATATAATTTCACATGACGTATTAAAACGGTCTACGTGAGTTGAACGCTTCATTTTAACGCTAAGAGTGCAACTTTTCACGTGGCACAGAGGGGAACAACTTATTGTGTTACGCTATTAAGGAGGGCGGCGTATTCGCTGGATGAGGCTTCGGGGCTGCGCGTCTCCATGTGGACACGAGAAAGCTGCACAAGGTCGAGACAACAACTAACACTGACTGAAAAACACGAGACAGACCATAAACAGCTATTCGATATCAGCCTGCAATTATACGCCATAGCTGTCACCGGCTTTAGGTCGATCAGGGTCCCAAAACAGATCAATAGACGCGCTAACTGTCCTCGGCCGAGGAGCGAAGCGCGCGTCCGAAACAGACCATCAAGTTCCCCCTGCGCAACATTAAAAAATAAATAAATACGAATAACGCGTGTCGCTTTTCAGTGGTTTGCGTGTGAGCGCGGTACTTACTTTATTCTCGCGTTAAAAAAACAAAAACAAAAAAACAACAACAACCGTGTCCGGGCTGAAGTGAGAGACGCAGCAGGCGGTCCGCCGGCTCGGGTTCGGTCCGGCTGACGGAGCGGAGCGGGTTCGGGGAGCTGCTGCAGCTGCTGCGAGGAGGGACGCACTTAGAATCCAGGAGTGCAACTCAGCCGAGGACGTCGCCGGGAGGGGGGGTGAAAAAAAGTAACCTACAGTTACGCGGTACGAGTGTCTATAATGTCAGAGACAACTACTCTCTCTCCTCCTCCTCCTCTCTCTCTCCCTCCCTCCCTGCCTCTCTCTCTCTCTCTCCCTCCCTCCCTGCCTCTCTCTCTCTCTCCCTCCCTCGCTCTCTCCAACCGGCCGGAGTCTGTTCGGGACGCGGCGGAGACGCTTCGCCCGGAGGAGTGTCGGCGAGGGGCCCGGTGGAGCGCTGACGGTGTGAGGTGGCTGCAGGTTCTGGTGGATCTCGACGGTGATGTTGAGAAGCTTTTTCGGTTCCTTCCACAAAATCCCGACCGAGTCCCGACCCCCCCAAAAAAATAATTAAAAAAACACTCCTCTCCCAGTGCGACGAGAAATAATCGATTTTTCCTTCTTTCTCTCTTATGTTTTTTTTGGACTCGTGAAAGGGGCGGGCTCGCATTTCCCAACTCCACCATAATGAAGCAGACGCGGCTCTTAGTGCTTTATTATTGCGCCGGCCCCGATTGAGTGGACGGACAATTAACTGCTCCGAGAGGACCACTGGAGGAAGATGATGGGGAATGTGCGCTTAACTAATGAACCAACAGAGAGCACCTCGAGCATCTTTGGCCCATTTGCTAAATCCAGCAGCCGGGGTTGATTTGGTTTTACTTGTGGCACGTTGCTTCATGCATAAAGAGACTCAAAAGACACATAGCTGTTATGTGCAGGAAAACACTGAAAAGAGCGGATCTCTCTTGCTCACATTTCGATTGTCCTAAAGCAGCTCCGACTCACACATCTTATTCAGTAAAACCAAAATAAAACAATCATTCAGTTCTCAACAGATTCATCCCGCGTCTGTGCAACACGACTGCTGCCTGCTGTCTAAGTCTCCACAAACTCCCCTCCTCCAGCGCGCTGCCAATCACTCTGCAGGACCCAGCTATCTCCTTCAGATAAGCCCTGACACAGACAGTAAGCATGGGGGAATTACCAAGCCTTTATCCGCCCCACCGAATGATTTCAAAACATCCACTCTATTAGTGTGAAGATAACAATTAGAACAGCAAGTTTGCCACTTCAGATAAGAGCCAGACAGGCAGTCTGTACAGAGATGTATCCCAGATAGGTCTTGTTATTCTCTGGTTCTATTATACTCACATTATATGGGCACGGTATCGGTTTAAAGAGCGGTTGCCTTGAATGGAGCCTGTTATGAACCATCAGTTCTCACTCTTGAGTTTTCATCAATACAACTTCAGGAAAGGAAAATAATCGCAGGCTCTGATTGTTATATTTTTGGATAGTTAAAGTTTTACATGCAGGTGATAATCATTTTCTTTTACTGAAATCATCCGAGGACGGCGTTGCCCCTCAACAGTCTCCGTGATAGGGAAAACGCGTCCTCATATTTATTTTATTGGCAGTTGAGCACCATCACATCCTGATCTTCAGGTTCTTTAGAGGTTCACCTGTGAATGAGCAACGCACGCAGCCACACCAACCCGCCAGGGCACGGAATGGCAGGACAAGAAATCAGTTAATAAATAAATCAAGCTGGCTAATCTGCTCGACGGGCGGACATTGCGGCTTGTAACTGAAGTCACCGGTGTCTGATGACTCTGGATTCCACCTTCACATTACATGACCCTTGAATCTTTAATAGCTTTTCCTCAGCAACGACCCCTCCCCCCCGCCCCCACCTCAGGGGGCCTCCATAATAATCAATAAAGTGTAGTCTGTTAGACACAGTCGGATCATAAATGCAACATGGCATCGATGACATCACGTATCAGTCTGTATGGCGCATGCATATTTGACACCCTCAGTATGTGAATGTACCTTCAACTGGCAATTGCATTAACATGTGACTGACGCATGAAAACCAACCCAGGGTACCCGGATGATCGCACATACCACGTTCAATATTCCTTCGTCAGCCGTCTTGCGCGCCCTCAGTCTCGCAGATCTCTTTGCTGCCTGTCAGTAATTCATCAGAGAGGTCCTCTCCGTGTTCACAGTCCTTGAGGTTGTCTGTGGTTGGCACCTGGGAGGAGAAGTAACACAGGGAAGTGTGAGGAGGAGATGAGAGAGTCGACCTGCCTGTAAAATGGTAATTGTTTGCGCGCAGTTGGCACATAGTGAACGGGATCCATGTTAACAAATGTTTGTGTGTGTGTGTGTGTGTGTGTGTGTGTGTGAGAGACTGTGTGTGTGTGTTTAATGTCCAAATGAAGTACCATAAATGGGGGGAAGGTGGATTGAATATATTCAAAAAATGCATTAAACGAGGCTCATGCATATTCATAAATGACTGTCTAGCTTGTCTACAGGGATAAACTTATAGTAAAGGCCTGCTCAAAACCTCCTTCTGTGCTCTCACATTTGATGCAAAGTAGCAAAGACCTACTGTATATTTTAGTGTTGAGACTAACAAATGAGGGTCCACGGCTAAATCTGAATACGATAGAAACAACTTGGTGCATTGAAGCCGGATCATTGTTTCATTGTAGTACGTCATTCCCACTGTGTCCCTGTTACAGCTGTTAAATTTAGACAGCACCACAATAACTATGTTCCAACAAACTGAGCGTGCAACGTTAAATATTGTAGGTTGTGGCATTTGTGCTATTGTGAGCCAAATCATGTTTCTCCTCAATTAAAACATTATTATTACATTATTAGTCCTGCTATCTGAAACTTTCCGTGCTCAACCCATTAGCCAGTGTCCCTCCCTCCTTGGAACATGCGATCCTGAACTTATGTTCTGATGCGCGTGTGTTTTAAGTGTGGGTTGGGAGTCTCATGAAAGCCTCATGGAGAAAAATCAACAGTTTGCCAACACGATTAGGTAATTTTAAACACATTATAGTGTGTACACGCACAAGTTAGGCATTTGGGTAAATGTAATTTTGCAGGGTTTGGCATCAACTGCGCATAAAAAGAGAAGAGGGGAAACTGCGACTGCATGTTAAGTCAAACACATAAGTGCGGTTTGCTGATATTGATCTTGCTTGGATTGTTCCTTAAGCCTCTGCTGGCAGTCACTTCACAGAGCGTGTGTCACACACACACACACACACACACACACATGCAAAACAGCTCGCCTCAAAAAGCGTGTGTTTTTTTTTTTGGTAACGGAGGGAGAAAGAAAGGAATGCCTCTCACCAGCAAAAGATAAACACTAACACATTTCCAGGGCAAACAGGAACAGCCCGGGCTCCGTGCAATCTGTTGTCGATCACGCTCACGTGAAAACACAATCTGCCTGTCACAGCGGATGATGCTGTCAGGCCCTCTGCCTCGCCGCTCCTGAGAATTAGCTCAGTGCGCATTACAGAAGCACCACGAGACGCACGGAGTACTTGATGTACATCAGCCACGTCTGAGGATGCTTCAAGCTTTGTTTGGTATTTACTGTTTTCAGTCGTTTCTCCCTGCGTTCGTTCCCTAATGAATTTGAGAGACGATTGGTGTTTTGACAGTAGATTGATGCGACACAACGTGACGACCAAGCTTCACAAGGATAACGGAAAGACCTGCAGGCCAATTTAACTGGCGGGCTCAGCTGGGGATCTGTAGATCTCACTCCTGCACGGCTGTGTGTGTGTGTTTGTGTGTGCGTGTCTTTAGGGTAGAGCTTTATACGGTTGTTTTGAGGGACAGTCCCAATGACTATATTTTAAGACTGAAGCCATAATAAATCTTACTAGTATTTAATTCGGGCCGTATGAATAAATATATTAATTATCATCGTTATTGTTGTAGGAAATACTGGGGTAAATGACATAAGCTTGAAGAAATGATTGTGCGCATTCATTATGTGTGTTTGATTCAATAATGTATAGTCTCTATTCTAAGTGCTTTTCTCGCGAAAAGGAAACTTCTAAGTAATCTCACACTCAGGAGGAGAGATGTGAGACATTTCCCTGCTGATCTGCACTTGGTCTTCGTGTAAGTCAGCGTTATGTTACACATGATTTAGAGATCCTTATTAATAAGGTTTATAATGAAACTCACAGGGCAATGTCATCGGTAATTATAGTTGCATGAATTGTACCTCGCTACAGTATTATTAGGGGAGCAAAGGTGAGAACGTTTTAATTAACTGAAATCATATGTCCTCATATTACAAAATATATAAAACAAAGGAATTCAGAGAACTATTTGTTTGTACACTCGATTGAACTAGTAAAAGTAATATTACCTTGATTATCCTAGAACTGAGATAATGCAGTATTTGAGTCAAGAGCTTGTATGTCTAATAGCACCTTGTGGTATTTACCTTTGAAAATATATCATATGCAAATGTATTATCTATTTGCATATGTTATTTAGATAAGTTACATTGACAATACCGTCATTCCAAAGTCTTAAATGACAGCTTATTAAATGCTGTCTTTTATTTGATTTCTTCAGGTTCACTTAAAAGAAACAAATTAACAGAATTGACTCCAACATTAAATGATCAAATCTCATAAACCTAAATCCACGTCAGTAATGGCCAAAGCAGCTCTGGCCAACTGCAATCCTTGTAAAAAGCAACAGAAGCGGTTTCTACTTTATCATCATAAGCTGCTGTGTACTATAATAAGGCTCATTCTGCAATGAGCCTTATTTTCAATCAAAATGTTTTTTTTTCTGTGTGCGGTTTGGCCATTAACTGTCTGGCCAGCAGTAAGTTCACTGTACCATTTCATATATTTCCTTGTCCCTACGGGTTCAGACTCAGAGCAGTAACCTCTCGGTTCAAACCACATAGAACAGACTCGAATGCAAAAACAACAAGAAGTCGTAACGGAGGCGTAACGACCCCTCACCGTGCAAAGTTAACGGAGAGACGGCGCTGGTGATTTGCATGTGTCGTGTTTGACCAACAGTCTGTACACCTTTTATGCATTATGGATGAGGCGCAAGCTGAACAACAAGCTGCCCTTTTGTTTTGCTTGATGCTCCGGTTACATCATAGGAAAAGCCCCATGGTCCCGTGACTGCGGCCAAGCAGTTGATCAGACCTGTTGCTTCTTCAATATCTATGCTATCTTACGTGAATATGTAG